CCGCTCTGCCCTCTTCATGCCGCTGATAGGTGCACGTTGGAGGAGATGAATGTTTTTAAAGATCCTAAAGTGGAAAGCCTTCTCCTTTCTCGTTGCAGTATCTGTGTAGGTAAGAGTCCTTGCGCGTGCGACCCTCTAATGGAGCGAATATTCACATACTGTCCACGGTGGCCCCGTCTCATGGTGGAGCTGCACATAAATCAGGCTGGAGAGGGAGAATACACACATGTGGCCAGCAGCCCTGGCAATTAGAGGCAGAGTGCCTGACATCATGGGGAGCATGGACAGAAGGCTGGTATTCCAGACACACTCCTTCGTGTGTGTGTGTGTGTGTGTGTGTGTGTGTGTGTCCAAGAGTGCCATCAGAAGCTGCTGGTGAGCAGAGGTACTCTTCAACTATGCCATTGCAGCTTCCTCAGCTGGACTCTGCCACAGAATCATGCATAACGTGTAGAACATCCAATCAAATGTACTCCTCTTGCTAGACTAAGTTCAATCAAAGCTTACTACCAAAGGCTAGCCTGAGTTTTAACTACAGCTCTCAACACTTAAAACTTATCTTTGAGCCTATGTGTAGAGATGCTTCCCTCAAAACACCAAGCCATTTCTTCCCCTTCTTCTTTTCTTCTTTCTCCTTCTTCTTTCTCTCCTTCTTCTTTTTCTCCTTCTTCTTCTTTCTTCTTCTTCTTCTTCCTTCTTCTTCTTCTTCTTCTTCTTCTTCTTCTTCTTCTTCTTCTTCTTCTTCTTCTTCTTCTTCTTCTTCTTCTTCTTCTTCTTCCCTTTAAAGCTATTCACTTTACACCCTGGTTACAGGCCCATTCCTCCTCCCAAGCCGTTTCTTGCCTTCACCTTAGTCTGCACTTTTAATTAGGTTGTTCATGGCCTTGAGGCCCCTGCTTGGGAGGCGGGGATCGGGGCTCCTAAAGCGTCTCTCTGTGCCTGGTTGCCCACTGCTCAGTGGCTACAATCCTACTGCCCTTCCTACCTCATCCCTCACGCTTCTAGTAAGATACTTTTGTTTCCAAAAAATATTAACCCTGAAAATTGTGATGTACTTGCTAAGTAACTGACCTGTTAGCAAAGTGGGAAAAATTAGCAAGGAGGAGGAAGAAGAGAACAGGCTGAAAAAGGGAAAAAAAAAAAAAAAGCTGACCTCAGACCCCCAGCCTTCTCCTCCTCCTCCTCCTTAAGGCACACCTCCTCTGGCATTTCACTTACAGTAAAAAACTTTGTAAATCATTGAGTGCCTTAGCATGAACACTAAAAAAATGAATGAACACTTCCAAATGCTCTCAGTATGTTCCATGTTTAGGAGACTATTAAGGGATAAACCAGTTATTCGGGGGTAAATATTCCATTGTCTTTGAGTTGGCTGTGACTGGCAACTTCTGAGGAACTGGACAGCAGTGCCCCTTCCTTCTGAGAAATTGACACAGTGATTTTCAGACTTTCTGGGCCGTAGTCTCTAACTATAGCGAACTATTAAATTACAGTGGGAATTCCACATGGAATCCAGGTCATGGAAGGAGAACAGAATGTGATCCCTAAGTCAGATCCTATTTATTAACTACAGTAACATCTCCCAGACCAGACAAAAAGGGAAGATGGGCAGAAAGCCCTGGGACCAAACCACCAGTGTGTCTCTGTGGCTGTTCCAGAGTGTCTTTGAACTACTCCAAGAGACTCATTCCAATGTGAAATGTGTCCCCTGACTCTGTTAAATCCAACTGTGAAGCTTTTGGCTTCTGATTGGAAACACTGAGTTCTCTCAACACATCAGCATTCCCTGACAATTTACAAGCTCCAGACACCATGGAATGAAAATATGAATCTTTCTAAACATGATAAGAGCTTTCTTTCTCAACTTAGTTTTCCTCTGTTCTATTTCTATTCTGTGGCCAGTGGTGTCCCCATTTTAAGAACCAAATATAACCGGAGACAGCCTCTGCCTGCTCCTGTGGGTTTCCTCCGGCGCTGCCAGGAAGTGGGCAGTGAAGTTGTACAGAGTAGCGGCTAACACGGACTTGGGTGCAGACAGATTTAGTCCCCATTCTCACACCATGGTTCCCATCATGCAGGGCTCGTGTCCAAGCCACACTTTTCTCATCAAATAAAGAAAGAAACACCTGAGGGCAGCTACAATCAAAATGAGACCATGTATCAGAACTGCAAGGCACAGAGCCCAACAGTGACTGCCCACGCCCACAGCTGCCGTTCTCTAGCCACGCTGGAACATCTCCAAGCACCTTTAATTCTGCCAGCGCAGTAATGCAACATACATTTCATAATCTACATCCATAGGAAAGCTCATTTTACAGTATTTTAACTGTAATATACGACTTTCCCCTTTTTAATATTATAATTACTTTTCCTTCTTGCCACATAGGGACCCTAATTATCTTTTACTTTGTTGCATGAGATTTTATTAAATGGATTACTATATAATTTAACTACTCAAGTTCTGTCAAATATTTGAGGCATTTTGATACTATAAATAATGTTATAGTAATGTTTCTGCAAATACTATTTTTCATTCTGAGATATTTTTTCCTTAGGACCAATTTCCAAAGCCAGTGTTCAGAGTGTGTGCTTGCCTGTGGCTTCCGCTAATTTTGGCACACTGCTTTCCATTCCTTTATACAATTTGTACTTCCTTCTCCAATTTCATAAATGTCATTTTATTTTACCCCTTAAAAAAAGCTTCTAGGCTGGAGAGATGGCTCGGCTGTTAAAAACAATTACTGTTCTTCCAGAGGACCTGGATTCATTTCCCAGTATCCACACAGCAGCTCACAGCTCTCTGCAACTCCAATATCTGACATCCTCACACATTCATACATTCACGCAAAACACTAATGCACAAAAAGTAAAGATAAATATTTAAAAAAAAAAAAAAGCTTCAAGCCTTACTCTGCAGTGCAGGCTGGCCTCAAACTTTCATACCTCCATCCTCAAGTATATTGGCCTTCAGGCACATGCCACTACACCTGGCTAAAGTCATCTGTGTTACCATATCCTTTCCAATATTTAATACTTTCCAATATTTAATACACCCTGGATCACAGTATGATCTGTATGAAATATAGTCACACCTTTAGTGCACACCCTTAATCCCAAACAATGAAAGTAAGATTAATTTGTAGAAGGAAGCAGCCACATTTGAAGGTGATGTCTAATTGAGGGGTGGACAAAGTGATGAATCACAGAAAGATTTGACGGAATGAGTCAGAGGTAAGATATGCCCAACTTTCACAAGAACAGCACAGGAAAGAGAGGCTGCCTAAGAGCGGTGCAGGGAGAGAAGAGGAGGAAAAGGAGGAAGAGGAGGGCAGATGGGAGGAGCAACTTTTAACTGGACAATGTTACAGAGAACAAGCTAGACATAGGACTGAATGAGCCAGATAGTGAGAAAGAGGACAGAAGATTAGAATAGATTGCCAGAGTTAGTCTGAGGCCAAGCAGAACAACTCAGTCAGAAGCCAAGAGAAGTCAGACTGAATCAGTCATTTTGGAGAGGAATTAGGGTCAGACCAGCTGAGTTGAACCAGCCATCAAGAGTTCAAAAAGAGCTAGAAAGGTTCAGTTTATTCAGCAGTAAGGTTCAGAGGCTGAAACATTCTAGGCCTAGGTTAGCAGATAGAGGCTGGAAGATGAAGCCTTCAAGATTCGGGTTTGCAGAAGGTTAGAGTGTACAGAGGCTAGATATAGGGATATAGCTATCCCTATATCTAGGATAGCTAGAACAGAGAAAGAAATGCTCTGGGTTCAGCCCAAATCATGTATCCACAAAGCTTGGGTATGGCTCTCATCTCATCCCCTCATCTGAAAAAATAATAACATTTACAGTCTCTTCTGTGAACTTCCTGATTAATAAGGCCCCATTAGAATGGAAGGGAAGGAGAGGAAAGTTTTCTGTTTGGTTGGTTGGTTGGTTTGGTTTTTGAGACAGGGTTTCTCTGTGTAGCCTAGACTCCCTTTGTAGAACTGGGCATCTTGTTTTCACCAAGCAGATGCCAAACACTGATTAGAGCCCTTTTCTTGTAGCTTCAGCACCCGTATTACAAACCTCAGAAATTACTCTTAGCTACCTTCTGTTCAGAGGAGGATGTCAAAGTTCAGAAGCTCCAAACTGTGGCTAAGGTCACACAGCAGTTGACTGTTGCGCCGAGACTGCGATTCAGATCCTAACACATGCTGTCCTGCGCTGCTCCTCCTCCCCGACCAGCAGATGGATACCCCGTGCAATATGAAGCTTGGTGGTCCCTGGCAACCTGATCATCTTCACATGCCATTTGTCATGGTTCTCTAGCAGCTTCTACCGAGAGATGGAGTGAGTCCGTCCCCCACACGTCTCTTCTCAGCCTTCTCCCCGGAGAGCCCCGTCCTCTCTTGCTGACCTCACCAAGATGTCAGTTTATAGAAGAACGTCCCCCTTATTTTCTTCCTCCTCCTTCCTGCTAACAGAGGGGAATACAGCATTTTCTACAGCTTCATATCATCTTCCCACATCATTCATCCATGTGATTAGGCTCCTTGATTGGCTGGGAATGTCCTGTTGTGAACGATGCGAGCTCAGAGGACGACAAGGCAATAATACAACCATCTGGGCAGTCACCATGAATGTATGGACCTGATTGGTTGGCTGACCTCCTTTGTCTGGCTTGGCTTGGCTTTGTTTGGAGACACCGTCTTGCTATGAAACCCAGGCTAGGTGAGCTCAGGTTGACTCTTCCTGCCTCTGTTTTTGAATACTGAGATTACAGGCATGTGCCCCTACTTTGGCTGCCCAGCCCACTAAGACATAGGACCCATCTTCAAATTTCACTTGCATTAGTACCCAAATGTTTTATAAAAGTGTGGTCCAAATGGTATGGCTATTTTGGAGGCCGCTCTCATGACAGCCAGCCACACCTCTAGCCCTGCACCGATGATTCACTAAGCAGCTTTCTAGCCAGTCACCCCAACCTCGAGTCACCCTGCTTTCGCACACACCCCAGTACCTGCATTGTGCCGTGCAACGTAGGCAAGCGCCCAGGCCGCGGCTTCCCTGACTCCAGGGTCAAAATCCTCCAAGCATGTCACCAGTGAGTCCAGGGCACCACAGTCAACTATGGCCTGCGCCAGCTGAGGAGAGTGTTTGCCAACTGCTCGCAACACAAAGGCAGCCGCTTTCTTGTAGACACACTACAGGGAAAAAAGAAAACACCCGGAATCTAAAATAGCAACACAAAAATAGTGTCGGTGTAAAGCACAATGGTCTCCGAATGCAGACAATGAGCAGGTCTGCCAACACCCGACCTTTCACATTCCCCCATCCTTCTGTCAGTGACTAACCTGGAAGCCAGGTCAGTTATAAATTATGCTACAAATGTGTTACTTTGAAGCATGCATTTTAAAATTGTATAAAATCAAATATAAACATGATACTTTCTGCAAATTCGTAAACTAACGTGATTTCTCTATCTGCTTGACGCTGAAAGGTACTGTTTGACTCGGGACTCTAGATAGTTAGCGGGTTAGCTGTCTCTGTCGACCACCACCTCTTCCCCCTGCTTTCCCTCAGCCTCTAAGCGTGGCAGGCTTTCCTGCCCTTTGCGAATCATCCTGAAGATACACCTATCGATGACAGAGACATTAAGGTAAAACATTCGCAACATTCCTAATATGTCTCCTAGTTAAAAAATAATAAGGCAAACAATAGGATATGTTATTCTGCTATTCTAGAAATGCTTTTTTTAAGAGTAGAAACAAATCAGCCATTGTGTGAATTGTGAATATAGCTTCATATGTATAGTATGCCTTGTATATATATTTTATTGGGTTAAGGTATAAAAACCTGAAAGTGAAACAAGGGAATAGCATGCTTCTCTCTTCCATGTTGCCAGAAAGTTAAATATACAAGAAATGTTTGGCTCCAACATAGTTGCCATGACTAAAATAATACAGCGATGATGTCATAATTCTCTGTTGGTTTCATTGCTCGCTTGTTTTTTAAGACAAGGTCTCACTGTGTGCACTGGGCTGACCCTGAACATACCACATAGCCCACACTGGTCTTGAACTCACAGAGGTCTGCCTGCCTCTATGTCCTTCGTGCTGACATTAAACACGCACCACCACACTCAGCTGCACAGTCCTTATTAATAAAGCCCAGTTAATCTCCAGCTTGACACTATCAGTTAGGATTTCTTTATATTAACTACTGTCTTAGTTACTTTTCTATTGCTGTGAAGAGACAGCATAATCAAGGCTGCAGGCAGGCAGGCAGGGCTCAGGAGCAGCCGCTGAGATCTCTCCAAGCCACAACCAGGAGGCAGGCAGAAAGCTAACTGGCCAAGGCTACCGTGGGCATTTGAAACCTCAGGGCTGACCCCTAACGATGCACCTGATCCAGTAAGGCCTCACCCCCAAACCTTCTCAAACAGTTCCACTACCTGGGGATCAAGCATTTATATATATGAACCTGTTATGGCCATTGTCACTCAAAACAGGCCTAAGGACCAGCCAACTGCAGCACTTCATCTCAAGGATTTCTAGTCACTTGGACTAAGACCATAAACAATAAAAATTATGATAAGAGAAAGAAAACACACCAAGTATATTTTAATATACTGTATCTAAAACAGTAACACATGTTAATGTAAAAAAATATACTATGCTGGAACTGGTCTGATGTTTTAATGTGACATAATTCATTTCATTTCTTAAATTATATCAAGAACTCAATCTACTAATTCATTATCAGAATTAAGATAGAGTTTTAAGATAACTTCCTGAAGGTTGTTTTATTATAATGAAGATAATGGCACATTTATTGTCATCATCTTAAACTACCTTGCCTCTTCTTCTGTGAAATTGTCAGGTTTATACTGTAAAGTCAGTGGCTCCCCGCTAACGGCAGTGCCTGGAGGTCACACTTTCTCCTGTACATTTCCAATGTTTCATGTTCTTATTCCTATAACCAAAAGAACTGGAAATAGAAGTGAAATGACAGGGTTTCTTAGCTTAGAGCGAGGGCACGGTTTCCCGTCACTGCGAAGGTGACAGCCCTGAGGTACTGCCTGCCCCCCCGGCCAGGCCGCCTCCTCACTTCTCTGTCTCGTGCGGGATGTCTAGTACACAGTTAGCCATCCTCAGAAAACTATGGAGACTGCCCACGTGGGCTGTGAAAGCATGGCGCCCCTCTCCAAGGAAAGACTGGGTCCAGAGGAAGAAAGCCTGACAGCACATAAGAAGCAGAAACACCCACAGAAAAAAATGACATTGCTGTAATTCCAAGAAAAGGCATTAAAAAAATAAACCTATGAAATAAAGCAAATTTCCACACAGCTCAGATGTTTTAGTCTGCTAAAATAAATGCGTCATAAAATTCCCATGTTAATTATGAAGCTTTCCCACCCAGCGCAGCGCAGGCACCACTACTGTCTGGTTCTGGAACATTTTCACCACCCAAGAATCCCTTCAAATCAAGCAGTCACTCCCTGTCTTCCTCCTTCCCCAAGCCCTTGGCACACAGAGTCTACGGATTTGCATATCCGGTATTCATCTAAGTTAGACTCTACAGCTTCTGTGTGGGGGCTTTCCCTGGGCATGATGACTTAAGAATCGTCCATGTGGCCTATATCAGCACTCACTCCCAGTTTCTGACAGAAAAACAGTCCATCGTGTGGGATAGAGGGGATTTTGTTTACTCATGCATCTGTTGATACCTTGGGTTGCTTCCCCCTCCAGACTGCAGCCGCACTGCTCTGAACACCTGTCTGCGACTTCTGTGAGCATCGCACTTAGTCCTTTCAGATGCGTAGCTACAAGAGTTGCTTGTCCGCATCCTAACCCTGGATTCACTGCAGACCTGCTGAATTGCTTTTCATAGCAATCATTCCATTCTACATTCCTCCGAGCAATAGCTGAGGCTCCTACTTCTCCGCGTCATCACCACACTTGTGACCTTCCTTAAAAGTATGTTATGGTCCTCCTGGTCGGTGTGCCACCACCACGCCATGCCTTTGGCTGGTGGCTCTCACCAATGCTGCCACGTTTCTCGTGGGTCTGTTCGGCATTTGGAGATGCTCTTTTAGGACGGAATCTATTCAAGTTCTTTGCCCATTCTTCATTTTTATTTATCTTTTTGTTATATAAGGAGGAATTTAGTCTTAAGGACATCAAAAGAGGGTGTGAGCCTGCATTATAATAAACAGAGTGGAACAGGTGGTCTAAAACCCTACTTACAGAGCAAATATATAGCTTAATTCAAAACAGTAACACCAAAAAGTGCAGTGTGTGTGTGTGTGTGTGTGTGTGTAGGCCAGAGGCCTAACTTAGGGGTCATCCTCAAAAAAGTCTTCTGCTCTTTGAGACGGTGTCTCTCTCTGGTCTACCTCATCAATACGCTAGGCCAGCTGTCCTTGAGTCCCAGAGGTCCTTACGTTCCTGCCTTGCACTCTTGTCCTGGGTAGAAGCACGGACAGCTATGTCTACCATTTTTACATGGATTCTGGGAATTGAACACAGGTACTGATGTTTATGGGGTAAACACCTTCTAGACTATCCAGCCCCCAGAGGGTGCTTTAAGAAGAGCTGGAATGCTTATTTACCTAGAAAAATGTATATCAAAGTTTCCATTTAACACCGTCTGTCCCTCGGGGCTGTCTCTCACTTCTTCATTTGTATGTCGAGGTTGCCGAAAGCAGCTATGTTCTTACTCAGGGTGCTATCTTTCTCCCTGAGGTAGCTCCTAGAGCTTAGAAGTGCAAAGAAACTACCTATGTCTAATTCCCTTAACTTTTTGCATAGTTCTCTTAAATTAACAGTAATGAAAACACACCTAGAAGCGCTAAAGTAAAATTTCCTAAAGATATCCTCATGGACATATAGGAATCCAGGGTTGTATTGGCATCCTAGGATTCGAATGCCTCAAGTTTACAACTGTGCCAAAGCTATCAACCTTTAAAATCTGAGACAAGGAAGAAGGTTTTCAGAAAAAGCCTTACGTTCTGCTCCGCCAGTGAGTACACAAGCTGCGGAAGAATGTCGCCCTTCACGACTGCGCCTGCTAAGTCATCGTTGTAGTTGGCCAGTCTCCCCAGAGCCAAGGCCGCAGTCTGTTGAATTGTTGGGACCACGTCCAGAAGGAGAGGCCTCAGCAAGGACATCACACCTGAGGTAAAGTGTGAAAACCACAACTCAGCAAAAAATTTCTTTAAAAAGCAAAACCTGATTCAGCATATATGCAATCAGAAAATGGAGGTTTTAAAAACAAAACAGTAAAAAAAAAAAAGAAAAAAAAAATGAGTGTTAGGCATAGTGGTACACACCTGTAGTGCTGTGCTTTCAGGGGGCTGAGGCAAAGGAATCTTGAGTTTAAATCTGTCTGTCTGTCTGTCACACACACACACACACACACACACCACACACACACACACACACACACACACACCAAAGTGGGGCAGGGGGGGCAGAGGGAAGCCACTGGAAACTAACTGGACACTTTTAGAAACATTTAAATGGCTAACACAGAGTCATACAAGCTGCCAAAATTGCTAACACATTGAGAAAGCAGAGGCTCTGGAGCTGGATGAGAAGTGATGCCTCTTACTGACAGTTTAACACCTATGACATCATCAGGAGAAATGCAGAGGGGGGTTAGAGTGTCTCCAGCAAAGCCCAGCCCCAGCCCTTGCCACCTTTGCTCTCTGTATCTCAAGGAACATTCCAGGGTCTTTGTTCCATTGTTTTTTCCTTCTGGCTCAACTGCATTTTTCTTAGGGAGAATTTTCCAGGCTCCGTCTCAGACCTGAGGGGGCTAGAAAGCCAGTGTGTTTGGGCCAGTCCTCACACTCACAAAGGCACACAGTAGATCTTTAAACAAATCCTTGTGCTAGGAATCATAATGAATCACTAGCTCTTCCATATCCGCGCCAGGGCTGCTCACACACTGCCATGTGGGCATCATCACTGTCACCATAAGTCTCTTACACCGACTGGAGTTTTAGGCAAAAGCCTTGCTCTGAGGCCTTGCTCCACATTAACTCGCCTCTCAGGACAAACCTAAGAAACTAGGCTCTCTCGTTATGCCTGTTTCACCATGACACAACTGAAGCTGAGAAAGACTAAGCAAACTGCCCACTGATGGAATGAGACGGAATGGAATTAGAATTCAGACACTCTCTGCCGGTGACTAGTGAACAAATAAGTGTTGAGAACTGAGGAGGCCAGGGACGGGAACCCAGCAATAAACGCTTTATGGTTCTCTCACAGGACATTTCAACTTTCTGTATCAACTTTATCTTTCATGCGCTATTTCTGCTTTAGTGTCAATACTTACAGCTAACTTTATATGAGAAATAATGACAGCATTCAAACTGTAACAAAGTGGCCCTTGACTTTCTAAATGTTACTTATTGTACATAGCTATTAAAGTTGACATCATTACATCTGTTCTTTAGAAATTTATCCTGGGGGAGACCAGTGACTCAGGAGGGTAAAGGCACTTGCCACCAAGCCTAATACCTGAGTTTCATCCCCAGGACACATATGGAGAGAGCCAACTACTGCAAGTTGTCCTCTGTCCTCTACATGAACTCTGTGGCACACAGACACCACACACACAAGTCATACAACAGTAAATAAAAGTATAGCTTAAAAAGTTAGAAAGATTTCACACACATATATTCTGGTGATAGACAAAGTCAAATATTGTGAAATATCCTTGTATCATTTTATATTTAAAAACATCTGAAAAGAGAAAAAAAAATAGCATTTACAGTAGCACTTGCAACCAGACCAGAAATAGCACTACCAAACAGCATAAGCCAGAAACAACTATGCTTGTCAGGATGTATTTAATTATGCAGCCTGTAAGTCTTCCCAGTTTCCAGTCTCCTTTGGTTCTTACTTCTGTGTTTAAACTCCGCCAGATTAGAGCGTGCTCTGAAAGATCACAATTGCCTAGATGGCAGAGCTGCCTGCTGCCGTGGTTCAGGGTCTCCTTACACAAGCCCCGAAGTCCACGAGTGCTGTGCATGCTTTTAACTGGACATTCTAATAGAGATGGTTTCACAAGTCTCACAGCGAACAAATAATGTTAAAGTGATTATTATTATCTTTTATAGTATTCAATTTAATTATAAGTATTTATTAGTAATGATTTATTGGTTAAAACTGATCAATTACAAATCTCCCAATTTTGGAAATTTTTAGTTTTTGTTTCACCAGTCCATATAGCCAAAGGAACTTTCTTCCTTTTATGTTTTTCCCATTTTTAAATTAGATCTAACTCACAAAATATTAAGCCAGGACTAAGGAAATAGTTCAAAAGTTAAGAGCATTTGCTTCTCTTTCAGATCTGAATTCAGTTCCCCACGACATCAGGCAGCTTACACTTGTAACTTCAGCTCCAGGGGACCCTTTTCTGGTCTCCTCAGACTTGCACTGAATGTACATATCAAAACACACACACACACACACACACACACACACACACACCTTTTTTAAAAATGCAAAGTTAATAAATGACTGGTAATTCATTTTCTTCTGTTCCTTTGCCCCAAATCAGAGTTAACCTTTTAAGTGAGTATTTCTGCAATAGCTTCCTATATTACTTACTTTAGACAGTAGCACAATGCAAAATTTTTAAACATTTTTAAAATCTACAAAATTACAGAGAATAAAAGTCTGTTTGAAATACTTTGGTTTGAATAACTTTATTAAATAAATGACCTTGAGAAATTTTCAAATACCGCCCTAAGTGTCTATTCCCTAAATTATGATTTATATTTTCTATGTAGAATCTTCAGGCTATTCACTTTACCTAGGAGATTTGTTCTTACCTTTACGCAGGCAGAGACTTCACTATCTCAATTGTAAGTTTGTATCTCGGTGGTAGAGCCCCCACTGTACTGGCTACTTTTATGTTAACTTGACACAAACTAGAGTGTCCTGAAAGAAGGGAACCTTAACTGAAAAAATGCCTCCGTAAGTTCCTGCTCTAAGGCATTTTCTTAATTAGTGCTTGCCAGGGGAGGGCCCAGCCCTCTGTGGGTGGTGCCTTTCCTGGGCTGGTGGTCCTGGGTTCTATGAGGCTAGGCAGGCCTCAGGGAGCAAGCCAGGAGGCTGCACCCCTCCCTGCCTCTGCAGCCCATCCTGCCTTCCACTTCCTGCCTTCACCTGAGTTCCTGACTTCCTGCCATAGACTATAATGCAGAAGTGTAAGCTAATAAACCCTTTCCTTCCCAACTTGCTTTTTGGACGTGGTTTCATTGTAGCAATAGAAAGCCTAACTGAGCACTTGCCTAATAGGCCTGATAAACCCTAGAACCACAGGGTGATAGACGATAGAAAGGGAAAGATAATAGCTAGGCAGATTTGTTCTGAGAACATACGGATGTCAGAGGGATGCTATGAAACAAGCACTCGCTGAGGAAGAAAGACAGACAGAGAGAAAAAAGAAGAGGGAAAAGTAAGAGAAGGGGGGAAGCACAGCAGTTTTCCTCTTCCCTGACTGTGCACTAGGGATCCACAGATCACAGCGGCTGCATGAGGACCAAGAGCCCTTTGGAGGTATTGCCAATGACTGCTCCGCCTCTGATCAACAAGCCTCTAATGAGGGGCTAAAGTTATCGATTTCTGGCATTTCCTCTCAAGCCCCAGCATGCAGTGGCACTTTCAAGAATTAGTTTTTATTCTGATAATCAGCATATGCATAAAATGAATTTTGATCATTTCACCCCACTTCCATTATCCTCTCCCATGTCCCTCACTCTCCCACTAATGTCCTCCTTCCTCCCAGAAAGTTTCTGCCGTTTTGATGTCCTTTGTGTGTGTGACCCACTGACTTAAAAATAGGATTGTTCCCCTGAGCAAGGGTGGGACATTCTTCACTGAAGCATGGGGCTCATTTCAATGGCAAACTACTGAAGAAAAACGGCACCAGCCCCCCAGCAAAATTAATTGCCAATAGCCCCTTTAAAAAGGGGTGTGCCTCATGAGTCCCTCCTCAGCCATGTCTGTGCTGGCAACCATGGCTTCCAGAGTCCCCGAGTACTATGGCCAGGGCTTGGTTGGTTTTTGCTTTATTACAACATTTCTTTCCCATGACCTGGCTCCTATGTCCTTCCTTCTGCCATGTTGTCCCTGGACGTTGGAGGGACCCCAAGGTTCTATATGATGCAGATTCTCTGCTTAGGACTGACCACTCACATGTCATTATTCTCAGTGGTTTGATCAGCCGCAAGTCTCTGCATGAGCCTTCCCACATCAATCACAACAATCTCTCACAAACTTGACTCCAGGCCGGTCTGACCTGGGCAACTCTTCAGGTGAGACCTCTCTTCCCAGGTAACTCTAGATGGTGTCAAGTTGACTATAAAATCAATTTTAAACTAGGTTCTAAAGAAACTGATTTTCCTGATTTGGGGTCTGATAACGTTGTCCCCAGCTGAGTGCTGTTTGGGGAGGTTATGGAACCTTTACAACATGGAGCCAAGCTGGCAGACAGAGGGCACTAAAAGCAGGTGTCTGAAGGGTATGGCGAGTTTTGCTTCCAGTCTAGCTCTAACACCCTCTTCTCCAAAGCAATAACATGTTCACACCCACAAGGACCAGCTGTCCCTGTCACTTAACCAGCACGATGGTGAAAACCACAATGAATCTCTCCCCGGCCAGGTAACTCCTGCCAGGTATTCTGTCATGATAACAGGAATGCAGTTAAAACCCCAATAGTGAAGCTAGGATTACAAAGTAGCTCTACCATTTGACCCCTTATAATGCAATGTGGGCCAAATTACTTTAACTCTACATGTCAACAGTGTATATAAGTCATTAGGAAAAAAATAACAAATATTGCCAATGGCAAAATACTAATTTTCACTTTATATACAGCTAATATGTAAAAATACTACTACAATCTGCTATTTCTTTGGTTTTTGAGACTTGGTCTCTCTAGATTGCCCTGGCTGTCCTAGAACTTGATGTGTAGCCCAGGCTGGCCTTGAACTCACAGAGACCTCCTGAGTGCTGGAATATGCCATGACACCCAACTTATTGGGGTTTTTTGGTTGTTGTTTTTGTTTTGTTTCGTTTTTCAGGTATTGCCAATTTTTGATCTTCCAGTTGTGAAGCGGTATCATAATGTTTAAAATATCACTGTAATAAAGGCTA